AGATTTTTGGTGGGTATATATATAATTGCTCTTCTTGTAGCTCTTAAAGAGTTAAGAAGAAAGCAAGCCTCGCGCCGCCGTCGCTCGCTCGGCTTCGGCTTCGGCTACGGCTACGGCTTCGGCTTCGGCTTCGGATTTGGTCAAATGATCGATTGATTGATTAATTTTTTGGACCANTGTTTCATTACGATAACTTATATTTTACAGAATTATTATTTACAAATACAGCAATATTGGCGGGACTAACAGTAATTGCAGTTAACTTCATTTAACAACATTGATTTGTGACCTAGAATAAATGATCAGAAACTTGCTATAACATATTAAATTACTCTAATGGTGTAAAACATTCATTACACTGTTAGTGTATATAACATAAATCGTTTTATATAGGCACTAATTTTTTCCGCCATTGTGTATGTACTTGTAATTAATAAAATATGTATCCGTGTCTATTGTGAAGTATGGTGGCCGATTTTTTTTTCTCTCTTTTCATTTTTCCAGCTACTCTGCTCAATTCTTTGGTTCATTTGTAATTGTTGATGCTTCTTTTCCTTTTTCTTTTTTACTCCCTAATTTAAAACTGTTATATTGTTTGTTATAATGTGGAATTAGGTGAAGGAATGTGTGCAATTCCAGTGATTAAATGCTGCGTAGAGAGGAGGCCTGATGTAACTGTCTTAATGACGACTACCACCACATCAGCATTGTGAGTCTCTAATTTGAATTCCAAGTTCAAATGTTATTTTATTTTTTATTTTTATTTTGATCATTGAAGTTTGTTGCTTTGTTATTTCCTATCAAATTTCTTGCAACATCTTGCACTAATAGAAAAGTGGTTTTGTTAGTCTTTTCACCTGACAATGATTTTCTATAATTTAGGGATGTAATGTTCGTTTAGTTTTTTTTTTCCTAAATAAAATGGAGATATATGAAAAGGATGGTCCTGTGATTTGGGGAGGTTTAGGGAGGTTAAATTCTTTGATTTATGCAAGTTGTATACCTGCGGTAATAGCCCTGTACGGAATATGTGTGTCCCGAGAATCTTAGGAAAAAATATCGAGAAAAATAAACATTAAAAATCTCTGGATTGATGTCAAAAGTTTATGTTTTTTGCTGACCCAAGATTAGAAAACTCTTATGGATAGAAAGACCAAGCAATGTGGGGGATGAACATCTTCTTTAGGGTCTTGTATTTGTTTCTTTTTAAGCATTTAAATATATGGGGTTGATTTTAATTGTGGTGCACATTACACGAGATGAGTGCTTTTGATTCAATACCGTTTTGAATGCTATCGGTCTTTATTCTAGAGAATAAAAAAAGCTCATGTATTATCATGATGACTTATATATATTGTATTGAAAAGAAAATATATGAAAGCATGCACCTGAAACCAAAAATATTTGAAAATGTAGAAGTACTTGATATAAAAGTTTGGACAAGAGTCAGGAGGTGAAGCTATTACGGGGAGTCAGGTGTTGCACAATAGAACAGCTAAGAGGTGTATCATAAGTCATAACCTGTTTTAACTTGTTTTTCATTCATTGCTGGAAGAGTTTGTAGATGTGAATTCATTCTGTATCTTCTTTGATCACTATAGTTATTGCTGAACAGAAGATGTGATCTACAGAGACAATATAAGGAGTCTAGGGTTCAAAGGAGAAAAGGAATTTCTCGAGTTCCGTTGTGTTTCAATATTTCCATGATAAATAAATTCAAGGTCTTTTTACGTACTACTAGTGTAGGGAATTTACTCACTTCCTATAGTTTTAACTTTTAACTTGTAAGAAACTGCATCATCAGAATGAGAGACATTCTTCCACCTCTTTTTTCATTTTCCATTGAAGAGAAAAGTCAGTATGTCTAATCTACTTTTTGCTTTCCTACTGTAAGGTAATAAAAAACCAGCTTTGTGTAAAATTGCAGTGTCAGCGCACACAATGTTTTCTACTTTCTGTTCTGCTGAAAAATACAATATTAAGTAGTATCTGATTCTTTGCTTTCTTACAGTGAGGTGATAAAGCACCAGCTTCCAAATAATGTCATTTATCAGGTATTTGTTATGCTGTTTCCTTAAGACTGTATTATGCTTGATTTCTTGACATCACTAAGTTGAGTTGTCTGACAAGGCACTGCTATTCCAAATTTTTGAACATTTGCAAGCGTAATTTTTTTTTAAAGAATCAATTATCATGGTGTGTAAACCACAATCTCTTCTTCCTCCCCTCATGTTATTTTTTTCCCCTCCACAATTAAATTATCATTTTTTGTGGACCCTAGGATCTTTTCCATTGCTGTGATTTTTTTCACCCTTCCCCTTTCTTCTGAGCCACACTGGAAGAATGACCCTGTTCGTTTGCAACATTCTTATGATGTTCTGGCATTTCTTTTTCTGTACACGTGTTTCTTCTGAATCTTACTCTTGAGATGCCTAGTTCCATGGACAAGACTGAAGCACTTATAGTAGCAGACTATCAATTACAATTTATGTGTCTTTCTTACCAAGGCTAGAAGGTAGAAGGAGTGCCTCTGACATGTCTCTTTTTTTTTTTTTTTTTACACAAATGTACCAGTTTTCTCCCATTGACACTCCAGCTGCCATTGATGCTTTCCTTTGTTATTGGAACCCAAATGCAGTCATTTTAATTGAAAGTGAGCTCTGGCCAAACCTCATTATAGGTGCCGCAAAGAAAAGGGTAAATACATCTTATTCTATGAATGCTGCTGAACTTAGAGATATGCTATTTTAGTTTCTAGTATCTTGGCTAAGGCTTGTGTTTTATCATCTTTATATTTTTCTGTTATGAGGTAACTGAAGTAATGGAAATTTATTTTATTTTTTCATGAGAGGACTATATCATTTAACCTATTTTATTGTTCAGACACCTAGTTTAGCGGGTTAGCATCAATTAATTTTGTTCTTCTTTTTTTCTTTTTTGTATTTCACATTCTACTCACTTGTATATTGGTATAATATGTCTTTCTCTACTTTTACACTCCCGTTATGCTACTCAGATTGCACTTGCATTGCTTAATGCTCGAATGTCTGCAAAATCTTATGACAGTTGGTCTCAATCGTTTATTATTCCTCTGACATCATTGATGCTCTCTAAATTCTTGCTGATTCTTCCACTGGTACGTCTCGTGTTTTTTCGTTGACGTGTTTGTGATCATCTTTTAAAGGCATAATCTTACCTTTAAGCTTCTGCATTTATATTTCTACGCAGAGCACTACACAGGCAATTCGTTTTCAACTGCTGCAGTGTCCACCATTCATCATAAATTTTTGTGGCGACCTAAAGTATGGTATGGCCAAAACTAAAAATACCTGATCTTATTGTCTTGCATGTACATTGGAGCTACTAGCACTTCATAATAATACTCTTTTTTTGTATATCCTTTAGTTTACTGTGATTATTTGTTTCTTCTTAGTGGCTTAGGAATACACGTATGGCTTCTTTCTTTTTCAGGTTCAAGAATATTTGTCACATCTACCGCTGCTTACCAGAGAGCAGGCGTTGTACCCTACTTCTCACTTCCTTTTTTTCCTGATTTAGCTGTAGGAAACATTGAGACTGCTGAAGGGGATCAGAGAGCTCTGGAAGAGTTGCAGGTACAGCTTATGAACAGAAAGGTTTGGATGGCATCTTCCATTCATAAGGGTGAAGAAAAAGGTAAATTTCTTGATGTATAATATTTCCCTGTATTAAAGACAAGATGAAGGAACACAAAGAATCTTGAGGCAAAGGGAGTTGGATGAGAGAGTCTTAAAGCCCCATTATCCTATGCTGTTATACCATGGTAGTAGTCTGAGATTGAGTTCATGTAGGCACGTGTGTGAACAAAATATGTTGTGGTTTAGTCCCTTACCTTCAATTTTCTCTAAGGTGTTTTGGATAGGTTAAGTGGTGAAAGGTGGAGGTAGAGGAACTAGGCACGGGGGCTGGGCCCTCAAACTCATCACTCATGACTTCATGAGTCTATGACTGAGTAAAGAGAAAACTCACGGAGCATTAGTGATTGGAAGAAAAATGATTGCTGGTAGATGGTTTATTTTGATTGGGGGCCAGGAACTCAGATGTTTGTATGGGTATCGATACCTACCCAGTTGATTGTTTCTGTGCCAAGTCTGTTGTCATGCATTTACGGCTGAAGTAAAAAATTCCTAGTGGTTCAGATTGACCTTGATTTCCCGCTTCAGCTAACAAAGTTTAAGGTGATCTGCTCTCTGTTTCTTCTTGAATCTAACTTAAGAATGTTGTTCTGCTTCTAACTTATCTATAAAAAAAGGAAGAGAATTCTGTTCTACTTCTCTATCACTTCTCTAAAAAGATCCATGTGAGGATGTTCTCTTTTACGGTTATCAAGTGGTTGTCTTATTGAAAAGGGAAAGGGAAAGGGAAGGGAGTTTTTCCCAATCTGAGAAGAGTAAATTTCTGCTCTTTGGATGGAGCAGAAAAGAAGTGAATTGAGTCTACTTCATGGTTTAGCGACCTTGAATATGACTGTAAGTTACTTTGTGCTGCTGAACGAAATTATGACAAAATTGATATGCAGTCATGTTGGATGTACACAAAGCACTAAAGCAAATACATCCGGATATCATTACCATCATTGTTCCTCGGCATCCTCATCATGGAGAACTAATTGATTTGGTATGATTACTGTGCATTAGCCTATTATAAATGTTTTTATTTGTATTGATGATCCATCTATGTCCTCTTCAAATTGCTCTAGTATTTCTCTCCTGAACTTTAAACTTGACTTGACTGCATCATTAAGTTATTAACCATGACCATGCACCACGTTCTTGCCATTAAAAATGTCCTCATGTTCACATGATTGGATGTCAAAGAGACCTTTATCGACCAGGGGAGAATTCAGGGGGGCGGAAGGGGGTTCACCCGAACCCCCTTCGCCGAATGCAAAATTTGTTTTGTACCTCATATTATATTTTGAATCCCCCTGACCACAGCCCAAAAGCATTGCTCGGTGGTCAAAGGGGGTTCAAAACCTTTGTGAGGTCACTAGTTCAATTCCCACTGGCCATAGTCGCTTTTAAATTTAACTTTTTTCTTTTTTGAACCCCCTTATCGAAAGTCCTGCCTCCGCCACTGTTATCGGCCTTTATCTTAGAATATGGAACTTGTATATTAATTGCTCTATCAAGGCTAGATTATGATAGTCTTCTTCAACTTATGCAGGAACTAGAGAAAGAGGGAGTAAGGGTGGCATTAAGGTCTCGTCACGATAAGCTCCTGCCAGGAACAAACATATATGTGGTTGATACATTAGGTTGACTTCTTTTTGCTTTATGATATTCTTTAAGCTAGCTGACTAAGAGATTTTCTTTTTAGATCTACTTGTTTTAGCCATCCGCATTTCCATTCAAAAAGTTAGTGACATTATTGTTTTCTGTAGGTGAAGTAGTTGAATGGTCTCCATCATGCTTTTTCTATGAATTCTTTAGTAGGATCTCTAACAAACTGGGTAATAACTACATTAGAAATCAGAATCAGTTTTGGATTTTGTTACTTGTTAATAAGCTTTTTTCAAGTTGTGGGTAAAAATGCGTCTAATATAACTATTGGGTGTGTTGTATTCACCGATTAATGATCTTGTCTCTTGCCACCTGTTTAAACTTCTATATGACATGGATCCACATACTTCAACAAGGTACAAATAGCTAAAAGTTCCAATTTCCGAGTCTCACAAATTTTCCTTGTGTTTAGTTTACAGAGTAGAGCTAGCTTGCATATGAGGAGCAGGTCGAAAATCTAACCCCAAACAAAATAATAAAGAGAGAAAATCTATCCCCTCATACCACAATCCACATTATATCTATCCTTATATTATATGTTTGTCCACATAAGCTAGAAGATTAGGTGCAGTCTTAACTTCATAAAAAAGAGGATTAGCTACAGTGTTTAATTGATGAAATACTTTTTTTTGCTTGTTAATGCAGAAATTTAAATGAAACAAAGTCACTGATTTTCTTATCATTCTGCTCTGTAGGTGAATTGAAAAAGTTCTACAGACTAACACCAATAGCCGTGATTGGAGGTTCATTTCTACCTGGTTCAGCTGGTCATAATATTTCAGAAGCCGCTGCAGCAGGCTGTGCTGTTTTGACTGGTCAATTTGGTTCCCTTCTTTTAAATAGAGCTTTTGATCGTTGGAATGCCTGGTTAATTTTGTAGTAGAATTCCAAGTTTGATTCTCATCCTGTGCATAATGTATATTTATATCGGTTCTTTATTTTGGCCTAATTGTCAGGTCCTTATATTGGTCATTTCTCTTATATGGCAATACAGATGCAACGGTTGAATCCTTTGTCAGTATTACAGGTCTGGAAGCTTACTGTGATCTATATAATTCAGTTGATTTGTGTTCCTTTTTTCTTTTACAAGTATAACTCAGTTGATTTGCTCAAGAGTTCTACAGGACTGTATTCATGGTTTGCATTGGAAGGGAAGGATGGCAGGAATATTTTAAGAAGGGGGTGGTTGAAATGGTGCAAGACCTATGTAGTCAAATTTCAAGGTCAACATTTGTAGGCTTCTTGTCAAACACTAAATTGAAGAAAGTGGCTTGACCAACCTGTTGGAGAAATGGAAGAGTCAACACAGTATATAACCATTAATGAGAAGTGGGAAAGAGCATGGTTGCAGAAATCCTATTTATACTTATAAAAAAAAAATCTGTGTCTATGAATATGGGAATGCAAGAATTCAATAAATTATTTAATAATAAAAAATGAATTAAGAAACTAAAACTAGCAAGACTTCTTATAATTAACAACCTTTAAGTCAATAGCCTCCATTGATTGACAAAAGCTTCAAGAATCTAGGTTTATTGTCTTTTGCTGAAATTCTGAATTTATTACATAGTACAATACATTGAAGTAAAGTACTCCATATGAATTTTGTGAGATATGTAAATATATACTGTAGCTTTTTATTTGCAACAGCAAAATATTTACTAAAAAGAGAATCCAACTGCAGATTTTATATAAATTGGCGCTNACGCCGAGGTTTGATGCTGTGAACCCCTTTCTTCAGCTCATCCCTATCCATGATGGGTATTTGTCATGTTGAAAAGGTCTTGGCAAAGTTCCTGCTTCAATGTCATGATATCTGGAGCAGGGAACAAAAAATTCACGTGAAGAACATAAATTCTTTTCCCTCCTTCCCCTGTATATCAGGTGCTCTTCTGTTAATTTTCATTTAATGTGATGAGAAACGCCTCATCAGCTCATTGCATGCTAGTACCATTCGTGCAATACCTTATTAGATATCTGGAGCAGGGAACAAAAAATTCACGTGAAGAACATAAATTCTTTTCCCTCCTTCCCTTGTATATCAGGTGCTCTTCTGTTAATTTTCATTTAATGTGATGAGAAACGCCTCATCAGCTCATTGCATGCTAGTACCATTCGTGCAATACCTTATTAGATATCTGGAGCAGGGAACAAAAAATTCACGTGAAGAACATAAATTCTTTTCCCTCCTTCCCTTGTATATCAGGTGCTCTTCTGTTAATTTTCATTTAATGTGATGAGAAACGCCTCATCAGCTCATTGCATGCTAGTACCATTCGTGCAATACCTTATTGGATATCCGGTTTCCCTCTGTTTACTTCTCAGCTATAAGCTTCTTTGCCTGAACTTTCTTAGAAGGAAAATGTAGGAGCTTATAGTAATGCATTTCTCTCGGATCCCACCTCCACCACTAGATTTCACTAATGCTTCGGGTTATTTTTTTTCTATTCCTTCTCTAGTGTATCCTTGTAACTTGCTGATTGACCAAATTTTCACACTCTTTCCGCTATCCTGGCATCCACAATATGGTGTTGATACTTCACTTACTCCCTTCAGGTATTGTAAACGGTAATATCGATTAGGGAGATTCATTATCAGTTAGAACCTGTATGGATCTAAGTTGCTCGGACACGGGTGCGGGTGTCCGACATTGGTGCGGATCTAGAGGTCGGATCTTTCAAGATGTAAATTTTAAGATTCGGGGATACGGATCCTAGTACGGATACGGGTGCGGGGATCCGGCTAAAAATAATTAAAAAAAATAAAAATCTCTCTAATTTATGAGAAATTTTGTGGAATACTTATGTATAGCTTGTAAAGTGTGAATTTCCTTTTTATTCTCGAGTTGTAGGTAAGTAAAAGATTGATTTCCTAGATAAGATATGCTATTTTCTTCAAATTTACCCTAGTTTTAGTTCTGATTTCGGTAATCAAATTGTATCTCGTCTCGAACTTTTCTGTCCGTCGTGGTCAAAGTACCCAAAATTATTTGACCAGATCCGGTACGGATCCCATACCCACACCCATACTAGTGTCGTGTCGACACGGATACGACACCTAAACTGCCATGTCGGAGCAACTTAGGTATGGATCAATTAGGATGATTCTTAGCTTGTAATTATACATTCTTTATTTTCCTTCCTACTTTAGAACATGGGTACATCACTATTTAAAGCCCAATAACTTGAGGGAATAATCAAGCCGAATCATTCCCGAAACACCTCTTTATATTCTTCTCTGGGGGTTTTTCGAATCCCTTCTCTTAATTTTATTTTTATTCCCGAAAAAAGAAAAATCAACGAAATATCGTTCCGGCAAAACTAAGTTATGTCTCATCATTCTTTCACTGGCAGCATTATCTAGCCTCATCTAGCACATAAAGAAGATTTCCTACCATGTCCCCTATTTTGAGAAATCCACCATCTGCGGCTGCGGAGTAAACTATAAAGTTTCACCATATTCAATCGTTGTTGATACCACATGCAGTTGTGTGGCATCTTCTCTGGCGAACAATCTTGTCGGGAATCACTCTATTCTGATTGCCCGAATCTCCTGCATCCCTCTAATCCATCAACCACCCTCCCCAAGTGATGAACCACCGAATCATCGGAACTCAAGTTTGTCATCTTATTTCTTCAAGCGAGATTTCGGTTCCTTTCTGTTCTCTTGGTCATGGAACTTCCATTTTAATCCCTCTATTGTGATTCATAAAGAGAAGTTTCTCTTCCTTTACTACTTTGTTTCAGGGTGAACCTCGACGGTTTTGTTATTTTTTCTTCTCTAACATAACCTACACTACTCTGAAGGTCTTCTTCCTGTACTCCGCTCGAATTTGAGAAGATGTAATTTCTTTGAACCGGGCACTAGGAGTAATGTAGATATCGACTTGGCTTCCACATTCGCCATGAGGGCATAGATCCAGAAAGGGATTATTGTAATTCTGGTTTTCCCAAGCTTACTTCCGCATTCATCATGAAGGCATAGATCAAGAAAATTCTTTAAGTCTTCAACTCTGTTACTGTGGTTTAACCTATGTTGCTCAGACTCTCCGAAAATGTCACCGGGTGTGTGTCAGATCCTCCAAAAGTAGTGCATTTTTTAAGGATCCGACACTGGTGCGGCAACATTTGGACAGTCCGTGCAGCATAGGGTTTAAAAACCTTGAATTCTTTTTTGCCCTCAGAAACGATCATTTTGAACTTTCTTCATTCCCTGCAGTTGAGTAATCACAATGGGTGGAAGTTGCATACTAGTGGGTGCAAAAAATTCAAGCATAAGTGATTCGCTCAAATTACACCTATATAAATGGTGTAAGGCGGTGGATGTCAAATATAATAACCCAACTAGGTTGGGGTCGAATCCCACAGGGAGTAGGTTGGTGTGAAAAGGTTACTTTGAATAGTGTGTCACTTGACTAAAGCCGTAATTCTGCTCCATTAGTTTGGAAAGAATTTGGTAGTTGTGAATTGTTAAGAGAATTGATTAATTGGATTGAGAAACCAAGGTTGTGTCCCCTTCTATGGAATGTAATGTTATCGGTGTTAATATGATATATTTCTAATGGGAGGTCATTTGATATACAAATGGTTCCTAAATGACTATCCAATATTTCCCAATAGTTAGGTAGTATTTCCTCTTTATGATTTTTCCAAATATAAATGAGTTTCAATTAAGAGCAATCAATTTATGCCAAGTAGAACCTACTTATTCCTAAGCAATTCTATTAAACAAGGTTTAAAACCTTGAGTTCTTGCTATTCAATTCTTACAAACCCTAAATCACTTTTTCAAGTGAAAGATAAAGTAAATTGGCACTAGTTAATGTTTGCAACCATTAACCATAAATGAAGCATAAGAAATGAAATGAAATCAACTACCCATTATATATATATATATATATATATATATATATATATATATATATATATATATATATAAATA